AATTGTCGCCACAGGCCGCGAGGCTTTTCTTCGCCGCGGCCGCGGCGACCATTATCTTGGGGTTAGATATCGTTTTCTGCAGGAGAAGTTCGCGGCCTCGGAGGTATCCCGCGACCGCGGAGGAGTGTCGCTGCCGCGACTACATTGTTCACCGAGGCCGCGGCGACAGTTTTTTGGTCGAGGGGTTGGCAGTCCTGCGTGCGGAGGTTCGCGGCCTCGGAGGTTTCCCGCGACCACGGAGTCGGGTCGCGGCCGCGAGATTTTTCTTCGCCGTGGCCGCGGCGATGTCCCAGTCGCCAATCTTTCATTTTCTGCTTCTTAAACCTCGCGGCCGCGGCGACAGCGAAGCTTCGATTTTAATCCCCTGCTGCACTTTGATCGCTCACTTTCACCTCTCTCATTTTGGAACGATTTCGCACGGCGATCTCCTTCTCCAGCTTCGATCCCTTACCAATCCCTCACGATTTTCGGAGAGTGATCGTCCACATCACGAGCTTTACCTTCGCGATTTTTGCACGACACTTTTTGGGCTTTTTCACGTTATCCCCGGGAACCCTAGCGCATCCACGCGCGTCACCATCGCCGTCGTCCTTCCGGCGAGTTCTCCGGCGAATCTCTCCGGCCGTCCCCTCCTCAATAATCGGGCGACATCCGACCACGAGTCCCGACGGTTCAAATTCGTTCCGCACTAGTTCTTCATCCTTAGCCCGTGGTTTGTCAATTTTCGGCCCGAACTCGCACCAAAAGGTACCGATAGCTTACTCTTCTTGAAGTGAGTTGATTGTTGAGGCGTGAGGAGGCCATCTCCGGGATCGAGCCATTTCGAATTGCTCACAAGCCTTTAGTTCAAAATACCGCACGCCACGTGTTCGACATATTGCCTGATAGATCGTTCAAATGGGCAAGAATCCATTTCGTCCCACCAAGAAGAAAACCGCACAAGAACCGGCTAAGAAGCGCAAAGCGGGCGAATCCTCCTCTCGAGATGCCCCCCCGGACGGTGACCGTGATGACCTTTCTGACCAATACGTTGCTCCGTTCCTGATATATTCTCGGAAAGAGGGCGAGATTTAGGCCCGTCTCTTACAAAAAGAGGTGGTGAGACCGAAAGCGGTGGATTGGGACCTCTTGAATGATTTGGGTATCCTGGAGGACGTGATGAAGTACCTCAAGGTCTTGAACTTAACCGACTACGCTAAGATTGAGGAGAGGTCGTACCGGACCCTTATGCTTAAGTTCTACAGCTCTTTCGATCTCGCCGATGGAAACGACTTCTTCACTTGTCGGCTTCAGGGACAAGAACTCATGGTGGACAATGCTGTGATGAAGGCAGTTTGCGGGTTCAACTTCACCGGTACACAAAGCAAAGCCGCCGATTTTGATGCCCAGAAGAGTTGGGCCGAGCTCTCCCCGCATACGACGTGGGATTCCGCTGGTATGTCCAACGGGCTTATCCAGGACCTGGCCACTGCCGTTGTGCACCGGTTCATCTGCTACAATATTACCGGCAAAAAGGAGGCGAACAAAGTCAGTGAGGGTGAACTTTTTCTCCTCTGGGCGATGCGGTCGGGAGTGCGAGTGTGTTCGATGGCCTTCCTTCAGAACTCTTTCCAGGAGATTGCCCTCTCCAAGCGTGGACTACCGGCGCTCGAACATTTTGTTACCGCACTCGCTCACCACTTCGACGTCACTCCAGAAGCATACAGATTACATGGGGAAATGGCGCTTCAAGACATGTCTGAGATGCGGTGTATCAACTTTAATGAGCTCAAGCAGGCTGACCTTATTCTGAACCGGAGAACAACTAAAGAGTATACGAAACGCACTGCCTACGAGACCTATTTTAAGAAGCTCCAGCAGGGTCAGCCTCACTCCACTCCGGCCGGCTCGTCTCGGCAACCGACGGCGGGAGACGAGCATGAGCAGATGAATATTGACGAGGACCATTTACTTCCGCCTCCTCCCACGTGGACGCCGATTTCGAACCCTCACCCGGAGATTCCACCGCAGCAGCCACCAGAATGGTGGTCCACTTTTCAGACTCAGTACACAGCCGATATCCGCTCTATCCACGATCGCTTTGACGCCCAGGACAGCAGATGGGCTGCCCTCGAGAACCGACAGACCACGCAGTGGACCAGCTGGGAGACACAGCAGAACACTCGATGGGACCAGTGGGAGACCCAACAGCAGACCCACTGGACTCAGATGGGTACGCAGTTCGATACCTTCGCTGGCGGCCTCCAGTCCATCCGCGAGCGGCAGGACCAGCAGGGCGCTCGGATGAACAGCTGGGACCAGCGATTCACTCAGTGGGACACCCGTTGGGGTTCGGATCCCAGTCACCCTCACCAGCCACCATCACCTCCGGATGCACAGTGACTTGTCACTGTGCTTTGTATGTTCTCTTTTTCCCTTTCTCTTTTTATTTGGTCTGTTATATGGTCTAACTCTCCTTCACCGCGACTCGACAATGGGGACATTGTTTGGTTTTAAGTGTGGGGGAGTTTTACGTGATTATGTGGTTGTCCAGGTCTAGTTTTTCCTTTTAGGATTGCGTTTATTTCGTTATTTCTTTTCTCTTGTGTGGTGGTCCAGTATAGTTTTTAGGATTATTTGTGGTGTCTTTGTGAGCTTGGACTTTGGTGTATTGTAAGACTAGTTGATGATTGGTTGATTGAGTTAGGAAGTTGTGATGATGAGAATGAGTGTCACATTTCGATAAATTGGCTTGGTTGTTATGTTGACATTTATTTTACCTTGTGAGGCTTTGAGCCACATTCATTTCTTTTCTTGTGAGTTATTGGTCGAAATCGTTGTCAATTAGAATTTGCCTTGAGTCTGCTATGAAATGAAATAACTGGATTTGTGAACGTGAATATGATTGAGGCATTCTTTGTATTTCCCTTCCCTTTTCTTTTTCTGAAAATAATTTTCACTAGTCACCCCTTTTGAGCGTTACTGATTTTCTTTTTCTCTTACCTCGTGACGATGATATTGTGGAGTTACGTGTGTGGATTGGGAGGTGATTTGCGTTGGTACACACACAAAAAAAGGGGGAGAAACCGAATGGATTACGAAATATCCTAAGGTTCTCGTAAAAAAAAGCAAATGTATAAAAAATGGAAATGTTGAATAAGTGGGTAGTAGGTTGACTTGGAGTAGTGGGAGGAACCGGTTGGTGTCAGCAACCAGAAAAGTTTATGATTACGGTTATCTGATTGAGTTGAGTTGATTTTCATTTAGCCAGTTAGACTATATTTATCCTACCCAGTCCAAAGAGCCTACGTTACAACCCTTAAAGTCCTCTTGATTAATTGCTTCGCGAATTTGATTGTTTTATAGTATGAGTTAGACGATAGGCAAATTTACAATTGATTCGACTGTTGACCAATTTGAGTGTACCCAGTGATATTTGAGAAAGAAATTGAGTGAGGCATAAATGATACACTTCTGTACTCGAGAGTTGATGTCATTCACAATGGCCAAGCTAATAGTTGAGGTGTGTGCTTGTGATCATTTGAATTCTTCTTGGCTTAATTGATTGATTTGAGATTAGTCTTGCTTGAACCGTTGTCCTTGCTCGTTTGTTTGTTTTGCTTTCCTTTTCTTTTCTTTTTGTTCGGGACGAACAAAGGTTTTAGTGTGGGGGAGTTGTTCGTTCCACTTTTTTCATGTTTTCTTTGTTTATTTCATGCTTGTTTTTCCCCTACTTAGGTATTTTTCTTTGGTTTTTGGTCCGTTTCGAGTCGTCTCGTGCATATCCTTTGTTTTAGTCGTTTTTGGTCTTTTTGTTCGTTTTTTCCTGGTTTTCCGTATTTTTTGTCGGTGGTGATGTGCAGGTTTGGTGGCTCGGTGCATGGCTATGCGAGGCCTACTGTCTAGATGGATGAGTTGGGGTCGTGTTGGAGAAGACGGGATCAAATTCCGAGTCCGGATGAGAGAAGACGAACCCGGAAACCGACGTGCAGAAATCTTCGCCGCAGCCGCGGAGAAGAGGAAGTCGCGGCCGCGAGATACATAAAAGTTCCAATTTTTGGCTCAGGGAGGTCGCGGCCGCGGAGACGGTCGCGGCCGCGAGATGTTCTTCGCCGCGGCCGCGGAGGGCTAAGTCGCAGCCGCGGAGGTCGCGACAGCAGAATTTTTATGTTGCGATTTTGTTCAGTTTTTCATTCACTCTTTCACCTAGGTTTAGACTCTCTCTCGTTTTATTCACTCCAAAACAGATTTTCTCTTAGTTTTTCATAGGATTTGATCTTGGATTGTGAAAACACCAAGATTAAGCTTGTGGATTCGGTTATTCGTGTATTCAACATTGCATTCTTTAATCGTAAGCTTTCATTTCGTTTTCTTATTGATTGAATGGCTTTGATTATTGTATTTGTTGGAGTTTAATGCATTATGAGTAGCTAAATCCTTTAGCTAGGGTTAGGGGAAGATCGTTCCGGTTTGATTTTGTTTATATGCATGATAATTGCTCAATCCTCTCGAGTTGTGCTTAACCTAGGGTTTTGATGATTGATCACCATCTTAATCTATCTAATCGATTTTAAAACTGAAAAGGGAGAAATCGTTCGATCTAAGCTCGTTAGGAATAAGCTTGTTCGTAATAGTATTGCTTATGTGTTGATTGCTTCAAGAATTGCTTATTAATGTTTATCCTCTTGTTACGAAGAGTTATTGAGGATAGACCTCTAGGTGAGTAGTTTAGCGAAGCATTCAACCGAGCTCTTGATTGCTCGTTAAGTGTATTGAGAACCGGAATTGATCGACCCCGATACCCTAGCTCCTTTATCATATATTGAGTTTGTGATTCCTAGTTTGTCTGCCCTGTTCAATTACTTGCTTTTCAAATTAGTAGACGATAAACAAACCTCCAAACTTGATTTAGAATGTTTAGGATTTTCACTTCTTTTATTTGCCATTTTTGTGCTTGAATAATCGTACAAAATAATCCGGCTGACCTTCCTCGAGAGACACGACCCGGTGTCGAATCTTTGATTTAACTCCGGTAAAAATAACTACAACAGTATGCTGCTATAACAGGGCGCAACCCACGTGAGCACAAGGACACCGAGCGCGATTGATAGATCGAAAAATGTGCACTTTTTTGATATGTTTAGTAGTATATTATTGTATGCTTAGTTTATTCGCACATTTGTATTTTTCAACTTATTTATCATCTGGATGAATTCGTGTACTTTGATATTTTATTATCTATTTTCAGCATTTTTGGGACTATTACTGATTGCACGAAGATGTGTGGATGCACGAAGAAGGATGAAGAAGTTTTTCCAGAAGAGTATGAGGTTGTCCCGTACTGACCAACAGCATCCCATACTCGGCCTAACAACTACCCAATTTCAAGCCCATTGATGAATATTTAAATAAAGGCCTAGGGTCCTACATGGCAATTTTGGAGAATAGAGATTTAGTGGGCCAAATAATTTTATGAGCCCAATTATCAAAAGAGGAATTGGCATCCACCAAAGACTCACGCAGCGTGGGGGATTTAACTGAGGTCATGCATCCATTATTTACAAAATTGAAAGGAGACCACGCAGCCAGACAAAAAAAGCCGCACGCAACAGAGGGAAAAGAAACACACGCAGCCATACATGGGGAGAAAAGTGCAAAGACTGGGAACCTAATCAATAGCGGAGGGAGACCGCACTCGCACACGAAAGGGGATATTCTTATTCTCTTTCTTTTATTATTTATTATGTTAGGTTAGGTTTTTATTTCTAGTTCCGGAGATGTCGAACCTTACGACTTGATAATATTTGATTAATTTTCGTGGTTGATTATTGAGTTATCTTTTTGGAATTGTGCGTGTTACTTTGAATAATTAACCATGATGTGTTAGTCTTGTTTAGATTGATCACCTAGATTAGGCTTTTCATATCTACATCTGAATTAGACCTGCTATCCGTAATTGTTGTTGTGTTTAATTCATAAGAGGTAACCGGAAAACAGTAACTACCGGGGATAACACGGCCTATTTAAGTGAACGAACGCGGTTGAGTTCACTAGTTAGTCTACCAATTTTTCTAATTCGTAAAGCGGCTAATTGTATTAAATCTTGAAAACGTTTTTCTGGACTGTACAAGAAGTCAGGTTTAATCGTAGAGCGTCTCGCGGTTAAATTAAAAATAAAGAAAAATTCGGGTAACAGACCGTGTCGTTGCCTAGGGCTAGTAATTTCATAAGATAGCGAGATTTGATTTCAAAGTTGATTAGACGAGTCAGTCGAGGGTGTAGACAGAATCGTGAACTAGAAAGTTCTCTTCATTTATTTTATTTATTTTTTTTATTTCATTTACTTTATATTCTTAGGATTTTATTTAGTTTAGTTATTAAATCTCAAAATTCCCCCATCTTTTATTGCTTTTTATAATTTCAATTATTACAAGAAAATTCACAATTTAACTCACACTCCCTGTGGGTTCGACCCTTGCTCACTACTACTACTAGTTGGTAGAAGTCGGTTAAGGAAAATATAAATTATAATTTTGCCGTGTTGCGACGCGCGGTCAGCGATCGAGGACAGGCAGGCAGGTGACAGCGGGCGACGAGGAGCCGTAGGCAACAGTGTTGGGCTGGTGCGGGCAGCAACGAGCGTGCGATTATTTGCAGAAGCTCGTTCGCAGTGCCCGTGGCCGCAGCTTGGTGGTTGGACATCTGCGGAAACTCCAGTGACATGCAGCGTGTGCTTCGTCATGCGTGCTTGCTCCTAGAAGGTTGACGGAGCAGCTGCGATGCTGTGGCGCGATGTAGCTGGGCGGCGGTCATGGATGTGCGTTCTTCGTGCGCACGCACTAGCATCGTCGGCTGGGCCTTCGAGCGACGCGGATACAACACTCGACGACTGCGATTCTCCACAGCAACATCAACGATCGAACCCCATGGCGCGAGTTTTCTCGTCGGTGAATTTTACCGTAAGCACGGCGGTCCGACAAGGGTTGCTTGTTCAAGAAGAAAAGTGGGATTCATGTCGAAAAGGAAATTTCATGTCTCCAAGGAAACGTGCAGTTCTACAAGAGCAAGGATTGCTAGTTTCCAATTAAGATTGCAATCTTAATTATTGGCCATGATAGTTGCATTTATTTCTAGTCTATTATTGCCTTTAATTATACATGCGCCTAAATTAATTTATTCTAAAATGTGTAAAATATAACATGTGTAAAAATATGTAAATTAATATATAACATGTGTAAACTATCTAAAATGTTCTATATTATTCTAAAAAATGGGTGAAATCACCTAAATTTTTTCAAACTATTATTAAAAAAAAAATATCTAAAATATTATTAAATATTATCTCACATTGATTAATGATGTTCAATATTTTTAAAATTATTAAATTTTTTTGAGTACGTGATATGTTGGACTCTGTTATCTCTTTAACTTAGAGCGTTTAAATCTTATGAATCAAAAGTTTTCTATTAAATTTATGAAAACTGATCTTTTAATAATTCATATTTAGTCAAAATTATTCTCTTAACATTTTTAACGATACAATTTATATGATATTTTAATGGGACTTTTTATATTTAGGATTTTTTCTTTAAAAGAAAAGTAAAAATAAGATATGATAAAATTGGTATATATACAACTAAAAGAAAATTATAAAATAAAATATTATATGTAGAACTATTCATTAACTTAGTTATATGATTAAATTTTATGATCAAATAAATCATAGATTGATTTTTTTATTCAAAATTAAATATCATTTTATACTCAAAATTAAATATCATCAAATTTGTTGTGTAACATAGATTATTTATTCAAATTCAAATGTCATCGATTTGTAAACATGTTGTGTGATTTCTTCTTATCGAGTTATTTTCTTGTTCAATATTAATTTGTATGTGATATAGGATATTATATACTCGACCAGTCTTAAAGGACAAGAAAGGAATATATTGAAGAATATGCCTACACATGGCTAGGACACGTGGCACGATGCTATTGGACAAGCACAACTTGGACCATAAGGTACACTCCCCCTATAAAAGGAGGCTAAGGTATCCAATTCTGACACTCTCTCCACATTCATTACTACACTTGAGACTTGGAGTGATTCTGACTTGAGCGTCGGAGGCCCGACGCCGGGACCCCTCCCGGCGTTGGGTTCTTGCAGGTACGGAGGCCGTCCGAGTCGAAGGAGCCCGAGTGAAATCTTATCCACTTCAGTATGATATTTACTTTTTAGTTTTTGTTATCTTTTTACTCCCTCCGTTTAAGAATAAATTTCGTTTGAATTTGTAATCTTTGTGGTTTTTTAAAGGTCGTTTAGATGTATTAATTTATGCATTTTATGCTTTATCCTTATCATAAATCCTAAAGCCTCTTGTATTTGGTTCCTATTGAAAAAGAAACTCATGCAAATGAAAACAAAAAAGTGACATAACATTACTGGTAATTTACACGTAATGATAGAAAGAGAGAATATATATAAAACAATTATAAAAATCAGATATACAATATCAATTACACTAGGACTTCACTGCGCTTAGCTTCTTTTGTTTCCTTCATAGTCGAGATCTTTAAACCTTGACTTCACTGCGCTTCGCTTCGTTTGATGGTCATATAGGGATAAAATAACAATTCCCGTTAAATTTGTACTTCTGTTTTTTCTTAAACTAAAATGACACGTTGTCAAACAAAGGAAGTATGATTTGTTTGCTACTCTAATATTATCCTAAATAATTGTTAATTGGATATGTATAAAAAAAATAGCTACCAAGAATCCACATAATATGAGATTCTTTCTATACTTTAAAAGATTTTGTAATTAGATAAATATAGAAAAAAAATCATCAATTAAGTTGAATAATCCGAAATATAAAAATTAATTTCTAAAATTAACATTCTTTATTAAATAAATAAGAATTTTTTGTGCTGACCATAAAATATGAGTTATGTAGATAGATAAATATAGAAAAATAATATTTAGCAATTAAGTTGGCATGACTTTTCAAAAAGATTTAAAAAATTTTTAAATGTTTTATTCGTTAAATGATTAACCGAATTTTTATAACCAAATTTACACGTTTCGTTTGACTGAAAAAACTTAAGGAGAATTGACCGAATTTCTTGGAAGCAAGATTTTCAAGATTTTTTCTTATTGGCCAAATTTTCTCATAGCATTTAAGAAAATCATTGCTCATATTATTATAAATTAAAATTTACACAATATTTTTCTCAAACAACAACTTTTACATTATGAAGTTTAAATTTGAAATTTCATTCAGCCGTCATTTTTCCAAAAAATAAAATAAAAATTTACTAATAATGATAATTTTAAAATTTTTAAGCAGTAGTTTTAATACTATATCAAATAAATCCCTTTGTATATAGTAACAGATGTGTGTCTAGTTGGATCGAATTTTTAAGCAGTAGTTTTAACAAAAATGTTTTACCCTCGGTTTCCAGTACTAGACAAGATCATCCTTCGTCGCCTACGACCCTCCATTTTTGGGCATTTTGCAGTCATCGGCACATGATACCAGTGACTCATCACTCGTCAGCCTTTTAGTCCACCGTATTCACTTTCCCAACGGCTAAAAGCCACCGCCCCCGCTGCCTCCGCCTCCGCGCCAGCTACTGTGCACCATGGCATTCTCCGCCTGGATTTCCCGCTTGCGTTCTTCCGCACGACCAATTCGCGCCACTCTGAGAAACACCTTTAATCGATATCAGAGCGTGTCTCTATCAGGAAGCGTTTCCAGAGGGGTTTTAGGCTCAGAGAACATTCCGGCTTCATCTTGGATCGGGTCTTTACTTCCGGTAGCTCTGGCTGCCTCAGCTGGCTCTATTGTTCTCGCTTCACTCCACAACAATGGTCCATCTTACTGTGAGTCACCGAATCTTGATCAAACGTAAGTGTCGCTCGATTTTTCTCTTTTCTTAAATTTTTGAGAGCTTGTGTTTTCCTTTATCTTGTTCGTCCTTTTTGGCTTTAAATTTTCTGTTTTTTCTTGTTTATTGGTAGGTAATCTTTATGAGTTGTTGAATCATTGAGCGAGGCGTTGTTGTTGTTTGCTTTTCCGTACAACGGGTTTCCATATCTTGATTGTTAAAAGTTTTGGACCCAATATTCCCAAATGACTACTCTGGGGACAATTCTGAAGCTTAAGTGAAATGATTTATGGTATTTTCCTGTTCTCATGATTACCATGGTTTCCAGAGGTAAGAGCATCGGCGGAAAAGATAGCACAGAGTACGTGGTGAAAGGTTCGCACAGAAAAGTCCCACAGGAGCTTATTGAAAAATTGAAGGTTATCTGTAAGGTATTACTTTTCTCCTTTACTGTCAGTGTGAACTACACTTGCAAAACTTTACAAGCCATTTATTGCATTTATTATCTTTAGTCAGTGTTATTAAATGACTGTCGTGGTGGTATGGAGTGTCAGATTTTTGACAAACCGCCATGCTAAACTTGTGAAGGATGGCGGTTATGGCGGCACCAACCACTATGGCGGGATTTTGGCCTGCCGCCATTTACCGCCATCAATCGTTAATAACATGTCTTCAGTTATGCTCTTATACATCTCCTATCTTCATGTTGGATTTAAAACCTTTGCCGCACACTTTTTCTAATTCTTTCTGTCAGTCTTTGAAATCTACTTGTGAAGTTGTAATTATGTCTTATTGTATATTTACTACCAATTTTGTAGGAAAATATGACATTAGACTATGATGAGAGATACTTTCATGGGAAGCCACAGCACAGCTTTCACAGAGCGGTGAACATACCTGATTTAATTGTTTACCCAAGGTGCAATTGATTCTGATTGTGATTTCATTTTTTCTTCTCTTTTCTGTGCCTTATTATCTATAATTTGCTCTTTTAGTAGCTCTGCAAACTGAGCTTAATAAAGCCCTATAGAAACCAAAGAAAGGGGTGAGGAGTTCCTGGATACTTGATTCTGAACCTATTCAACTTATTAGTTGGAGGAGTCTCCAACATGAAATACATCAACTGTTTTATTGGCTCATCATTCTCTACAAATGCATACCTACTCTGACCTCCTATGTTTTCACGAAATGAGAGTTAAAACAAATTTCCATTCTATCAGATTGGCCCAAAGATTTTGATAAGTCTACTGAATATTGTTCCAAACTAAAATGTTGAAGAGGAGCATTTCTGGCAGTAGTTAAACAAACTTGCAAAGTTTAATTTTTCCACAATACTGAAAGATGCGTCATGCATAATTCCTTAGTATAAGAAGCTTTCTGGAGACTATAAATCAGATATCTCATGGAAGACTAGGAATTATTATTGATGTGGGGTCAAATTTGGGTCTGAAGAGATGTTAGTTAGAAGTGTGATGACTATATAACTAAATTATGCAGGCTTAGATAATTTTGCTAAGCAGAATTACGGTTTAAACTGTGATGTAATTTTAAGCTATTATTGTTGGATCTTGCATATGCAAAAATGCTTTTTTATTGCTGTGAGATCCTAAACTTGTCTGTCATGATTGTAATACGTGTCCTTGGGTTCTGTATATTCATAACTTGAGGAAAAATAGGTGGAGAGTTTCAAACTAGAAAATTATCCATCCCATCTAACTATATTGGCTCTATCGGCCATCTTACATTGTGCATGCACAATCATGGAATGATTTAATATGCAGGTCTGAAGAGGAGGTGTCAAAGATTGTAGCTTCCTGTAATGAGCACAAGGTTGGAGCTGTCTGTTTATAAATTTTGAATAATCTTTCTGATCGAATTGTAGTTTTGGGATTTTAAGTGAATAGTAAAACATGGAAAACTTTTATTATATAGAAGGATTTCTTAACCTATTCTCTCTGAACTTGATTGCTACCAGGTTCCTATTGTGCCTTATGGTGGAGCTACCTCAATTGAAGGGCATACGTTATCTCCTAGTGGTGGAGTCTGCATTGACATGACACTAATGAAAGTATGGACAGTCATTCAAAATTTATAAATGTAATTTATGGTTTTTCTAGATTTGACAGGAATTATTATCCTTGTCCTCTGGCTGCAGACATAAATCACTTAAGGCTAGCACCACAATTTTGTGGTCAATTGTATTGGCAGTTTTAGTAGTTTTTATCTTGATATGATGCAGTTCGTAGAAAGTCATGAATATGAAATGTAATGTCCCAGTTTCCAACACGCACACTCATAGAACTGAAGACATCCTATAACTGCATTTTGCATGTCTAGTGAGTGAAATGAGAACCCATAGAGCACTTTCCTCATATAAAACTCACACATTTCACCAGAAAGGTTTCTTCGTTATTCAGAGTTTGTGCAATACCATACCGTGAAACATAATTTGTTGAAGTTTCTTGCTCCTCTGGTAATTTGCATCTGATTTAGTTAGACCAACTTCCTTGGCCTTAGACGAGGTTAAAATTATCTACTTGAATGGTGATTGTGAGCATCCTTAAATCGATTAAGATAACTTTCTTGCTAATGCTTTTACAGTAGATTCCTTTTACTTAAAACTCTTCTAGGATGATAATCGGGTTGTTCTGGATCCACTGTCGTTCTTTACTAGTCTCATTTGGTTTTTTCGGGAAGATACTAAACTTTGTTTGTCATATCTCTCGTAGATTGTTGGTCAGTACTTGCAAACTTTATTGCTTACTATCTGTTTTCATCAGTAATGATCAAGGTAAAATTACTTTGAAACCATCCTCATACTTACCTTACAAACTACACTAAATGCAGCGTGTCAAATCATTAAATGTTAAAGACATGGATGTGGTTGTTGAACCTGGTATTGGGTGGATGGAGCTTAATGAGTACCTTGAGCCTTATGGTTTATTCTTCCCTTTGGATCCTGGTGAGATCCAATGTACCTTGTGTTATTTGATGCATTTATTTTGTTTATGCTCTTAAGAATAGACTCTTTTGAATTGATTCACGTGATCGTTGCTATGAGGGTATTGAGTGGGTTCTTAAGTTCTTGATAACAAATGTTTCAGGCCATCTATCATTGTCACATTCTGAAAATTTGATTGACTTGTTTCATGTAGCCGTGTTATATATCTTGAAAATTTACCAAACTTTTTAATATCTTGATAACCACCGTAGTCGTTTTTTTACAATTTGTTCAACATCCATGACATTGATTTATTGAAAAACACCTTTGATCCACAGGTCCTGGAGCATCCATTGGTGGAATGTGTGCTACACGCTGCTCGGGTTCTTTAGCTGTAAGGTAGTTGCTTCATTTTAATTTTACAAACATCAGTACCATGTACTGTATGCATTGTACTTCATTAGCAGTTTTACCTCACCAGCTGCTAAATATTCAACGCAATGTATTCTAAATGAGCCCAATTTTGTGACAACCAAGTAGTTGCTGATAATTGATGCATGGACGTATTAGTTGCTGCCTCATGCGATATCGTATTGATCACCCAATCAAGGTTTATTATTGCTAGCCAGTAGGTTTTGATCAATGCATGTGTTTTTCTATGAACACTGGGGCCCAGCAAAGTCTAAGTTGATATAAATCACTGTTCTCAATTGTGTTTAATTGTTTGTTTCTAGCGTGTAGGTATGGGACAATGCGTGAGAATGTTATCAACCTAAAGGTTTGCATTAGCATTAATTCTTATTAAATTACCTTTTGATATCCGAAATCATCACAATGAGGCTTATTTTCTCTCAGGTGGTTCTACCCAATGGAGATGTTGTCAAGACTGGATCCCGTGCCAGGAAAAGTGCTGCGGGGTTTGTTCCTCACATCCTTATATTCAATCTGCGCCACTGTTTATCTGTTTCAACTTTCATCTGCTGAATAGTATTGAACTGTCACATGCCTTTTTGTGTAGCTTAGATGTTTCTCTTGCATTTTGATCCGCCGTATTTATTTGAGCTTCATCCTATTATAGTCCAGCCGTATCAGGCTGATATAAACAGAATTGTCTGGGACCATGATCTTTTCCAAGAAGAACAGTTCTTTTTTTATTCGTATATATGCATTATCCTTTGTCTCCTTGTTCACAGGGCTGCTATTCTTGCATAACTTCATTTAATGATGATTATTTTCTAGTTACTTCGAAAATGTTCATTAACCACAAAATCTTGTTGTGTGTTATGATCCAAGTTTCTGGTTTATATGCAACAGTTACTAATGGATCTGCTATTTGATAGGTACGATCTAACTCGTTTGATAATTGGAAGTGAAGGAACTTTGGGTGTTATAACAGAAGTTACACTACGTCTGCAAAAGATTCCTCAACACTCTGTGGTATGTCCATAGGACTTCACTATGCTGCTCGTCTCACTTTTGGTACTGTTCAAATATTTTCTATTACTCCAAAATGAAGGTTTTGTTTTATCAGGATCTCATTTGCTGAGAGATATTTCATGGTTTTCGATTATTGAAGTTTATATTCAAGTTCAGATTTAATATTCCCTCCACTTTGCCATGATAATTAAACAAATAGAAGAATTAAAGATCGTCGTTAGTTGAGGGCTTGACATATGAATGAATATTGTCTGATAATAGAAATTGCAAATTAATCATCTTATTTATGAGCTTAAGCGCCTTACATGCTAAATTTCTTAAATCAAATTGTCATTGGGAATTCACGGTACCCCAGAGCTCGTCTGGCCTTCATTTTCTTTTATGCTTTTCCACTACGGAATTTACAATTAGAATATTTTTATGGTGCACTCTGGATTCATTTTATGATTTTGTTTGGGTCTTGTGATAAAAATACTAATTTTTCGTGATTCTAGTTTGCTGTGAAATTTGGTTTAATGCATTTCTCTCTCTCATTTTTCTTTTTAATTATTAAATAGGTAGCAATGTGTAACTTTCCTACAATTAAAGATGCAGCGGATGTTGCTATTGCCACTATGCTGTCTGGCATACAGGTCAGAGAACTTTGCTAAGATTGCTTATATAATGAGAAACATGTCTTGTGAATATTTATGCTGCACAATTTCTTGCTCATAAAAAAACTTCAAAATGCATGTTCTTGATCTACTTTCTTTTTTTTATCAGAATGCGACTTCTGCATTCAATGGTGTATATAGTTGTTATTCTTATGGCACGGTTTCTCATTTCACTGTGGTTCTTTATCTTGTTTCCGTATACTGTAGTAGGTTTCGAGGGTGGAGCTTCTGGATGAAGTTCAAGTGAGGGCAATCAACCATGCTAATGGGAAAAATTTGCCTGAAGCCCCAACTTTGATGTTTGAATTTATTGGCACAGGTGAAAATTTGTCATTGTTTCTGCATACATCCGTTTTTATCTCTTCAGAATAGAAGTTAGTGAGGGTAACGGCATATGTTGTTTGAGGTTTGATTCGGGTCATCTTCTACTAGGCTTAGCTAGGAACCATTAAATATCTGTCAATGAAGGGGTTATAATAAGTGGCCTTGAAAGTAATCCAATTTCTTCGTAGTTTGACTGATATTCCAATGTAAGCGTGGACTATTAATGGATGAACCATGTCGTCTACTCGTCATGTTTTTGATTGCCTGTGGTGTTTTTGATCTGAATGTTCACAGAAGCATACTCAAGAGAACAGACACTTATAGTTCAGAAGATAGCTTCACAGCACAATGGCACAGATTTTGTGTTTGCAGAGGATCCCGATGCAAAGAAAGAACTTTGGAAGGTATGTCATAAAAATTAACCTAAATGATGCACCCAACTTAAGCAATCTCCCATACTTCTATTCTCCTGTTTCTCAGGTGGCTAATTTGATTTGCTACTTAGAAAATTCAGGTTGAGTAACACTTTCACCACTTAATCTAAGAGTAGCTGGTAATTTATATCTATTAGCTTTGACATTCTGTCAGCTAAAAGCTTAGTCAATCCTATATACAAAGATACTTCTGTCGACTTGCATTTCCTTGGTATTCCCTTTAATGAATTCCTACAAAATCATCTGCTGTTCTTTTTGTAAAATATTTTAGGTACTTGCAGTGTGTTTCGTGCATTATTGTTGTTTCTTCGTTACGTGCATGTGTGACTCTTCATGTTTGCTTTCTCTAATTTGAAATATATTCCCACTTAAGGAACATACTCAGTTAAATCTGATATGCTTAATAAGATTTCATACCTTGGGAAGCATTTAACTCGGATCTAACTAATTCACGTCCTTCGATATCAAGTATTTCTATGTTAAGTTTTTCGTTAAGGAACAAATTTTATCTTTTGGCGTTCAACACCAATATCATCATAAATCTGATTTTATTCGTTAAAACACTGGCCTTGCCTCAGCAGTTCTTATAACTATAGGAGAGATTGAGTCACATTATTTTGAGATTGACTTTCAGTAGGTTCTGGTCGAAATGTTTATGTGCTGTACTCCTTCTATATCACCTTTCTTGTCATAAAGTGACCAATGAACAATAAAGTATCATGATGAACGCGAGAAAGCTATGTCCATTTATCTTTGGTTTACCTGGTACACTATGATCCACTTACCAACCTTATTCTTGGATATCCTTGATACTAGGAACTGCACTTCCTAAGACACTATTGCCAATTTTTTTTTTCACGCCTTTCTTTTCCTTTTTTTTTTTTTTTGNTTTTTTTTTTTTTTTTCTTGGTATCCAATGCTCTTTCTTTTCTTTATCTTGGTTATATGTGAGCATCTGAAGGTAATGCAAATGAAACAATGGTCTGTTCTGCTTCTGAAAGTAAGTTGATATTTTATCATTTTGCTTTAGATAAGGAAGGAGGCACTTTGGGCTTGCTTTGCCTTGGAACCAAATTTTGAAGCAATGATAACGGTTTTGTTCCTTTTACCTTATACTATATTTGTAATTTACTTTCACAGAATATATTTTCTTCTCTTGGAGGTGCTTGAAGCCCTTTTCCCACGTTATAGCATTTCTCTCCTTTCCCCCTTTCTCTTTAATGTGTATAGTTTCCTGATATTGCAGGACGTGTGTGTTCCCTTGTCACGCCTTGCGGAGCTCATATCAAGATCGAAGCAAGAGCTAGATTCTTCATCATTAGTGTGGTATCATACTTTCCTTAGTGAAAGCGCATGGTTTTAGCACTCCCTACAGATTTACTTTGTTTTTTCTAATTCCTCACGTCTGTGTGTATTATATACTTGATGCTATAACAGCACTGTTATTGCTCATGCTGGTGATGGGAACTTCCACACTGTGATTCTTTTTGATCCCAATAATGATGAACAACGAAAGGAAGCTGAGAGATTAAACCATTTCATGGTGCATGCAGCTTTAGATATGGAAGGTACATATTTTGGCAGACAATTTCGGTTCCTATAATGATATCCTTTCGTTGGGAGTTAATAGTGGGGTTGGGTTGAGTTAAAGTTAGCTATTAACAATTATGAGATACAAGGGTTAATCTCTGTAATCACACCATGACTGTACATGAACCACTGGTTCAATTGAACTTGTTCCATCACTAAGCCTTGGAAAGCTTTAATAATTAATACTAAAATATTATATAATATTCATTCTTAATTGTTGGAATTCTGAGTGAGCAGGGACATGCACTGGGGAACATGGTGTTGGCACAGGCAAGATGAAGGTATCATTCGACACGCATTCTGCTGCCATTGGATTTGACAAACCAATAATGAGGATTTAGTAGAGAAACATAATTGACTAGAGAGTTGACGTAATAATTGATGAAAAAGGAACCAATAATGAGGTTTTATGTTAATTATTAGAGGATTTTCTCATCTTTTAAGGTAGGCATTTGTTTTAAGGATTACCCACTAACTGCAAAATTTTAAATTTGTAAAATGGATAGTTAGTTGATGAGTATTTGTAATTAGGCTAAAGATTGAGGATCTAAATCGCAACTATCCGTAGCTTGATTTAATTGAAGTTGCTAGTGGAATCATTACTGTCATTCTAACCATAGTTTTCCCCTGTTTATATTTCATGATGTTAAATTTAGATGTTGCAGGACATTTAGATAAGAGGTTGTCATTATTTTGCTGAGATTGTATATTACACTATACCTCTCAAGTGATATATCCATTATTTGTCTCAGTATCTAGAAAAGGAGCTTGGAATGGAGGCATTGAAGACTATGAAGAGGATTAAGGCTGCTTTAGATCCCAATGATATCATGAATCCAGGAAAGCTAATTCCTCCACATGTTTGTTTCTAAGCGTGATAGATTATGTACAATTGTTGTACTATATCACACGTTCATTGTGAACACACATTGAGATCAACATAAGTTAATCATAACGATGCACCTTTGTATCAGTATGTGTAAGTGACTACCAATAAACAAAGTTAAATTTTCCTCTTTTCTCTTTTTTGCTTTTCCTTTCCTTGTTTCTCCCATTTTAACTATCGGGAACTAGTTGACATTCAAAATTCTCTGTACCTTGGTCCTTGCATTGTGAGCCCTTGAACTGAATGCTGCATATTAGGCTAGTCAGGTGCACTTCATGTTGAGCCTGATCACTTGATGCCCAAACTCAGCACGAGCATGCTTGACAAGAATAACGAGCTGGGAGTAAAGCTTGTCTCATCTCGTAACTTGTATATTCCAGCTGGAGGACCTCTATAAAAATCTCGTTATAAGGTTAAGCTTGAGCTCAAAAGTTATATACTCCAATGGGTACTAACCTTGGGAAATATCAAAGTTAATTATTTCCCATATTTGTTTTGAGCTAATTGAACCGCATGCTAGCCAAGCTTGGAACGGCTCATTAGTTGAACGCATGTTACCTGAGTTCAAGCTCGGCTATAAATAAATGAGTTGAGTTATAGCCTTAACAGGCCAACTCGAGTTAAGTTTGTTAGAGGCTCATCTTCTATATCAGGTCTAATTATGTGATAGGAAAGACTGTTGCGTCTAAGATACAAATGTATTTCAGGATGACAGTCAGAGCGGTGTAACACATTGGAAATCCTTTATTAAAGAGGACCACTTTGTGAAAGGAAGGAAACAAGAAAAGGGATTCTTCTCTTAGTGCTAAACCAAGCAAATTAAAAATTGAAGAAAATAAAAAATAACCCCATTCATTTTCAACTCAACAAGACTTGAAACTTCTCAAATAATTAAAAATAGGAAGGAAGAAAAGTTGAATTTTTTCTCTTATTTCTAAGGTTGCTAGAGAAAAAGGATCACTGCTAAACTAAAGGGATTAAGGAAGAAACCAAAATGAACATCGCTAGAAGAAGGGCTTGAACCTTCGACCTTGTGGTTAACAGCCACACGCTCTAGCCAACTGAGCTATTCCAGCTTGCTTGCCATAATCCTTTTTATATGTATTACGACATAGAACTATTAACAAGAAAACCCTTGAATGGGTTTTATTTTATTATTATTTTTTTCAAATAGCAAACACTAACATAAATAGAAAACTCAAAAAGAGTACAACGGGGATGTCAACTGACACCAAGGAACCAGATAACTGAACATACCCTCTTGTAATTCCAGATGAATCCAAGAAGTACAACTCCATCAAGGAGGCAACCGCAAAACCAAAACAAACCTCCATAAAGGAAAAGAAAACTCCATATAGTAGAACAACCAGACAAGCTGGACTGACAAACGAAAAATAGAAAAAGAATAAAAAATGCAGACCTAATGTACAAATAAACTAGGACCTGCCCTACACCTAGCAGACCTAACGCCCGGTCACCCAAGACCGCATACGAGTTACTGCTACTAGCATAGAGATCCAACAAAGCCACAAACCGAAACTTCAAGCCCGAAAACTGCGGCCATTCGTGCTGCCTAGACGGATCTGATGAAGAGGCTGCTCTCGTCTTCAAATGTTATTTTGACATAAAATATTTATTTTTTAAAATGAATGTGTAGTCTGAAACAACATAATTCTACAATTATATTATCTAATTTTTATAGCATTAATCTCAATTATTTTACATAATGACCTGTTCGCATTGCGATAAGGATGCTGATCTTCAAAAGAAGAAGCCACAATATAAAATTGAGGAAAAGTTGAGGAAGATGACACGCAATTACATCGACTATCTTTGGTGTAGAGGATTATATTTAACAAGGCAAATTATGTTGGACATGCTTATTATTTATTAATTAACAAATTAGGAGACTAGCTTGCAGTAGCTAGTAGCTATTATCACTCATTTTCATCTCAATATATTATGGTTAATCGTATGACAATTGGGCGGCTGTAATTTAATCAAGAATCTTTGGTTGTATTAAAAAAATTCTACTTATTGCTCATTCCCTTTCAAGAGACATTAAGAAAAAGCTTATGTATAAAAAGTTGATCAATTCGTGAAATTTTATTAATTATTATTGTCATTATGTGATGTTAATCATGACATTGGAATGGTCGGAAAGTTCAAGTAATATATTAAACGAAACCTAGAGTTAGCGTGTGATAAAGTCATGAGTCCGACCATAATAACTTAGGGTGTGTTTGTTTATAAAATAATTCAATTCATATTCAAAATCTAACTAATCTTTAATTCAATTATAACATCTTTAATATTATCAATATAATTAAATATTAATAATTAATCATTTTTACACACCCCTTCAACTTTAATTCACTTTTCATTCACTCACATAATTTTAACTAATCATTACTTCTCATGCTTTTACATCAAATCAACTTTAATTATTGTATTTTAAATATTATTTTAATATCCTTAAAATTCAAAGAAGTCTGCGGAATCATCAGACTTGAAAGTCAACGTAGCGAAGGCAGGTGCGCGAGCGAGTGATAGGCTGAGGTTGGCTAGGTTTTTTGATTTTTTCGGCTTGACTCTGCACAAATATAGCCAAATTCAAAATTTCACTAACAACTAACTCTCTTATCCGTTTCGCATTAACCCTGATTAATAAAATAAAAAAAAAAAAAAACTCCTCATGAGCAGATATATATGATATATCTAAGCGCGGTCTAAGTAATTCAAATCTAAATGTACTTCCATCTAAATAATGGCAAAACGTAGTGGTTGAATTTTCCCCTCCCTTTTTAGAGTGGAACCGTTGGGCAGGGTTAATGGGTTATTCTATAGGAGAAAAATTATATAATTTTACATTTTTTTTTATCTGTATTCATTCATTTGTCTTTTTTATGGAGTGTAGCCTAATAGGGAGGGTAACAGGTAACTCTCTTCTAAATACAAATTATGTATAATTTGTAAGTATGTTAAATCTAAACGGTAGGCTTGTACAATTCAAAATTCTATTTGACAGCATTTCATTCTTCGCAATTAGACGACGATAGCCCTTAAATTCTTTTTAAGAAAACTAAATAACTTACACGTAAAATTAACATATTTTCAATATTTTAATTAATCCATACATCAAAGATCACAAAAATCTTGCTTATCATTAGTAAATATAAAAATATCTAATATTCTTAAGTCTTAACAATCTATATATATATATATATAATAAAAATAACCATTTACTAAAAATAGTAGTAAAAAATTTTGGATGCATTTAATGCATACTTATTTTTGGAAACTTTTTAAATATATGCATTAATTACTTCCATTTACACGTTTTCAAATAAGATCAATAAGATATGATCAAAAATATTATTTTCTTAAATAATTTTATAATATTTGCGATAATTTCATTGATATCCATTATAATAAATTACAAGATTGATTTTCCCTGATTTTACGTTGATAATATTTTGGTCAAGTTAAATATTACAACATATTTTAAGTTCTAAATATAATATTAATTTTTTTCACAAATATGTTGACAAGAATAAGTAAAATTGTAAAATATGCTAAATAAACTATAAATCCTTGTAATGCAAATTAGAAAAATATTGATTATAGAAGGGATTGAGTTTTTGGCATTTGCGAAATCAAAGTTGTTTAATTAGTATACAAAATTAGATTCTAAAAAAAAACACGTGTGTATTTCTGTAAAATATTTATACACTATTTAATTTTAAATTTATTTACATATCTTATATTGATTACACAAATAAATAATACTAACATGCATTAAATATTTTTCATTACATAAAAAAAGAAGAAAAAGAAGACGTACAACTTCTATAACTTTTATAAATAATAATGACATTATATGACAAAAAAATTTATAATAAAATAATAACTGAGTATTATATGGTGAACAAGAATAAGTAAAATTGTTATTTTTTCTCATATATCAAAGAATAAATATATATACTAAAATCATATTTATATTAGTATAAATGCATTAGTGAGATAATATATTAAATATTTTACAAAATAGCCCTAATATGCTCATATTTAATGTTCTGGCTAAAAAACAACGTTAATTACAAGAGGTGGAAAATGGATTATAACTTTATTGCTTTTTAGACTGAAACCGACATAGCCTGTAAAAATAACTCATTTAATATCTTTGTCCCGTGCATCGCACGAGGTACGTACTAGTATTCATAAAACAAATCAAATTAATAGCCCCAAGCTTTTGGATTGCCTGTTTGTCCCATAAAGGGAACGCCGAAAGTGTCAACAAGCCTCCTATTTTGCTCCATATTAGAAGGTTCCTCGGTTGCATCATCATTATTGGCAACACCACCATGTTTTTCTTCTTCATCATCATCATCATCATCATCATCATCATCATGATCAATAATGTCATTCAGATTCAATTCTGTAAAAGAAAAGTTAAAAAAAAATGTTTATCAAAGGAGAGATTGTACAATGTCCTATGTTGAAAATAAAATAATGTAATAATTAATTAAAAATATCAAACCCAAATCACAATAATTAGCAATAACATCCTTCTCAGTGGTAGCATTAGAAGTAAATTCATGGTCAAGAACTTCTAATTCTTTAACCGTTAATGACGGCGGTTCGTCTTCTAAAATCCAATCTCCAATCTCTTCAAATGACTCAAAACTTATTGGGTCATAGTTCTTCGTCACCTCTTTCCTATAAATATTGCAAAGGTAACGTAAAAAAATTTAAGCACTAAGTTGATTTGCAGTAGAAAAAAAAAAAAGAAAAAGAAAAGAAAAGATACCTCTTCCTTAGCTTCAAGTTGTAGTGAACATAAACAAGATCATTTAGTCTTTGATGCTCTAGTCTATTTCACTTCTTTGAATGAATATGTTCAAATACACTCCAATTTCTCTTGCATCCCGAAGAGCTGCATGTTTGGCTTAAAACTCGAATTGCAAGTGTTCACAAATTTGGAGCACTTGAACCATAACATCGCCACCACTCATCTAATAACATTGTAATAGAAAAAAATAAAGAATTAATAATACCTTGAAAAATATCAAAAACATGTAAATTAAAAAATTAAGTTATTACCAAGCATCATTGTGCTACGACTGTTCATTGCAAGTTTTCTTCCCAAATCCTCTTCTGCATGTCTAAATGTTGTCATTCACTCGACAACTTCAAACCAAGTTGGCTATCATGGTAAGTGTATTTTTCTATTACATCAAGAACCCCATAGACGGTATTTTTATGCTTCTTCATCATTCACTGTCATATTGATAACTCGGATTAAACCAAAATCCAGCAGCATGGAGATTTTTCTTTAATTGATTATCCCACCGCCTATCAAGAATTCTAAGAAACGGCTCAACAAACAATTTTCTTCTCTGAAACCTTTTTATTATC